ATTTCTATTTTCATATGCATGTTATAAAAGCAGTGATGCTACATTAGCCACAGGGCATTCTGTAGTGCTAAGTTTATCAACCTGAACAGAATTTACTTGCTGGTAATTAGAGTTTTAACAGCTAACTTTTAAACATCAAAGTCTATTTTGAAAGAGCACTACTTAACAGGAAATAGCATGCTATCAGGGTAATGCTAAAGGGGCAAAGAAAAAACAAACAAACCAACAGTAAATGACCAGCTGATAGCAATGACAGGTTAGCAAGCTGCAAATTGATTTTGACCTTTTACATTGACAGAAAGAGGAAATGTGTGTGCAATTGTGTATGGTAATGCATGTGTTTGTTTATTGCTGGGTGTAATTTTCACTGTATATTTATGTGCAATATGTGTAGCCTGCAGTCATTACACTTAAATACACAGTCACCCAAACTCATATACACAGACACACACAGTAAGGCATTTACTTACTAAACGGCAAATTGTGGAGAATTGAAAACCAAAATACAAAATGTATTCACATGTAGTGACTCCAAGCACAATACCTAATTCAATGAAATGTTTATAGTGCCTACAGTGTCCGTTTAATTCACAAAAATGCATTTTTTTTTGCCATGGGATGATTATTTCTAATGTTCAACTTTCTATGTTTTCCCCCATTCCTGGTGTATTTTTTAACTTTGTTAGAATACAGTACAGCGATTTTCTTCCCATTTAGTCCCTTGACCTTTTTTCAGAGAAATCAATGAAAGACGTAGAAAAGCTATAGAAAACCAGGTTTGTTTATTTTTGAGACTATATGTGAGTTGTTGATTTTTTTTTTCAAATCAGCAATTTTTTCCCTATATGTTGTAGTTTGGACTTCCATTGCAATTCACTGTTTATCGAACAAATCCCTAAGTATTCATTGCAGATTTTTTTTCCACATATACATTACATATTGCATATTCACCTTTCAGATAAGCTGCAGTAAGAGAGGTTTACAGAAGCCACATATCTAGTTTATTGCCACAGTGATGTCACTTAGAGATGGTCAGGAGGGGGCAGGGCCAGATTGACATATGGGCTATTTGAGCTTTGCACCAGGCACATGCCCATATAACAGGTCCATTGAACCTTTCAAAAACAAAATAAATAAATAAATACATATTTCTTCACTACGCTTGCTGTTGTGCAGAGGTAACTGAGTATGGGAACTCAGGAGGCATGCAGGAGAACTTGTGTGGACTGGCTAGTTATAATATAGGTGATGCAAATCTGACTTCATGCAAAGGTTCTTGCTGCTTCTATTTCCCTAACTGCAAAAAAATCATCTTGCCATCATGTGGTAATCTGTTACACTGTCTACAACCACCTCTTTCCCTGTCTGCTAGTAAGAACATTACTAGTCCTGAGCAAAGAAGATTCAGAGTTTATAATTAGTGATAGAGAGGAATTGAGAGCTATGATGGACAGATAGACTGGGTTGAGAGATGGGGTAGTGAGCTTAATATAAGTTATGTGTTAATTTAAAATGCATCCTGCACATATCCCTCCAACACTATCTCCACCAGATATAAGACAATCAGGCGGTATGGCTGCACTAGGCCCAATAGACACTTATTCCAGCATTTTCATATCTTCCCCCACATTTTACCATATGTCTGACATTTAAAACTGGCAGCTGCTTGTATGTCTACTTATATTTTTATAATATCATATATTGTTTTATACACATTGATCATTTCAGTCAGTTTAACAAACACTTTAATATCGGGTCTTTTAATATACATGTATATGTCCATGTCGGAGGGAGAGTGATCCGGGTTATAGAACTTGACCTATCACAGATTGATTGCTAGGTAAATGTTCACTATGTGAATACAGCATTCTAATCTGATAATGTCCTTGGACGGGCTAATCCTACTTATTTGGCCCAAACAATATTGGAAATTACAGCTAAACCTTACTACAAAATAATTTGTAGAATGTACGCTTTATTACATTTGTATGCAAAGTAACCAGTGCTTATACGTTTATGCTAATGTTGATTCTTCATGCTTAATGTTGGAAAATGTAGTATTTAACTGCAATTGTATATAACAAAGTGCTGTCAACGCTAACTCATTCTTATAGTTCCGCAACACGTACATGTACTTGTGTCAAATTCAATCTAAATCTATTTTTTTCTTATATGAAAGCATGCAACAGATGGCGAGTACTATCAATATTTACCCCTAAAGCAAAGATTAACTTCTCCATATCTGCACTTTGGTAGAAAATTCAGACAAAGGAATTGATAATGTGTGCTGTGAATCTGTTGGAAATCATTGCTTCTTAGTTCAGAAGCCTGAAGATACAACAATGCACTTGAGACTTAGTAACGCAGGTGTTCAGAGATATATTTGCATATTTAACAGATGCTAAGTGTGTTAAAACACTTTTCAAAACTTTTAGCTTATGAATGTCTTGTAGATGTGTATCAAATAAGATCAATGAAAACACATATTTATCACCCAACTCGTGAGCAAACTTGAAATGTAAACTAAAAAAATTTGTTTTATTTTGTAGTATTTTTAGTTATAATTAAAACATGATTTTTTTTAATGCTAATTTTGTATTTTTTTAAGCTACTAGAAAAAAAACATTCTTGCACAGCAACGTAATTCTTGTTGCTGTTACACGTGCTAGAGTTAAACATAGCTTCAAGCTAGAGAGTCCTCTGAATTGTCACAGTGGTACAAGACTGAAGCACGCCTTCTCAAAATGCATCTTTCTTCTCTAGACTACTATGTTTTTTCTGGAGATAAACATTACCTCTGTTTACAACATGAAATATATGTCAACAACATAAAATCAGCATAGAAAATAGTTCTTATAAAGATTACTGCTCAAATATTCCTAAACATTTCAATAATGCACAGTGAGAAGCCAGATATTATCGGATTACTGCAACCCAAAAAAAAAAAAAATTTTCATAAAACATAGATTTTCATTCAAATTAAGGAAAAAAAAACAAAAAAATAAATTATAATTTCCCTCTGTTCCATCGATGAGTCCAAATTTTCCCTGCAGCCTGATCCTTATTGCCTGATGTCACTCCTGTTAGCCAGAGGGAGAGGAAGGGTAGGGAGGATGGAGTGAGGAGAAAACAGGGGAGGTACAAGGTGAGCAGTGCTTTCATTCGCTGTCTGGTGCCAGCATGCTGTGTGTGCTGGATTCAGACACCAATTTTGCACAGAATTGACATTAGCCAGTTCTTGGCTGACTAATGATGGTGCCAGAGGTGGAGTTACATCATCAGCAGTTAAGGGGTTAAACTGTGTATGTTCAGCATTTCAAAGTGAAACACTGCACATACAGATTCCGGGAACCATGACCACTTCAAATCAACTCATTATTTAACATCCAGTCTTCATGTATAGTGCTATTGGAGAAGTTTCTAAAGTTGACTACTATAGCATAGGTCAATGGAAAACAGTAAAATATTTTTCCCCGCTATTATATTATTCTAATCAATAAGGACTCATTAAGAACTCCTACAATTGTGCCTACTTACCTTCCCATCTTTATTTATAGTCCTTTTTCTTAATGGAATGAGTGACTGAACATTTTGAGTGTTATAGCAATTAGTCAAATGTATTTATTTATTTATTGTTTGATTGATTTATTGATAAAATGTTTTACCAGGAAGGATACATTGAGATTTCTCTCGTTTTCAAGTATGTCCTGGGTCCACACACACACTGCATTGTTACAATACGGTACAATGTAATATAAAATAAGAAAACATATATAAATTTAACACATAATAGTTTATAAATGTGTGTATATATATATATATATATATATATATATATAATGCCAAAATACCAGAGTATTGCAGTATGCAAAGATACATTTTTTTATTGGACTAACATAATATTTAAAAGACAAGCTTTCAAGAGTTTCCTCTCTTCCTCAGGTCTGAAGCAATACTGATCAAACTGATAGAGTTTAGCACTTAAACAACTGATGTTAGAGAAGGGGAGGGAGGGGGCGAGTGGGGTGTCATAAATAACAGAAACTGAAAGTGAAAGGTGCAGGTTAGCTGAGAAGAGCAAGAAAAAGTAAATAAACAGAGGAGAGTCGATAAGCTAGTTAACCCCTTAATGCCGTTATGGCGTTCTATGCCGTCCCGCATTAAGTGGGCTTTAAAGCCGTTGCGGCGGCATAGAACGCAAGCTTGCAGCCCCTGGAGGTCCGGCGTACTTACCTCTGCCGCCATCCTCTTCTGGAGGGCTGTCTGACAGCCCAGGCAGCCCTCCCCCGGCAAATGAGGCCCCCGGGGGCCATGTGATCGCTCTCAAAGAGCGATCACATGGCCCCCTATAGCTGGCTGTGGATCTGCCAGCAGGGGGACTGTCTAAAATGTCAGACAGTCCCCTGCTGGTGGGAAAGTAAAAAAAAAGAATTAAACATGTGTAAAATTAATTAAAAGTATTTTCTATATCTATCTATATATAAAATACAAATAACCCCAAATATATATATATATATATATATATATATATATAGATAAATAAATATAATTACATAAAAGATTACATTAGTATACGCATAGAATTTAAATACCTGTAAATGCATATATATTACAATTCTACTTGCATATTTAAGTATCTTTTAACATAATTATGTGATTTGATTAATTAAAATTTGATTTACATGCCTGACAACACACGGAGAAAGTGCAGAGAATTTAATTCTCAAACACTATATTTGACCCTTTAACCATAAAACCTGTAAATAGGGGGTGCTGTTTTACTCAGGAGACTTCGATGAACTCAAATATTATTGTTTCAAAATGATAAATTGTATTACAACGATGATATTTTAAGTAAAAGTGAAGTTTTTTGCATTTTTTACAAAGGAACAGCAATTTTATGGACTATATTACTGTTGTAATATGTTTTACTGTTTTAAAACACCAATATTTGTGTTTAGTGAAGTCTCCTGAGAATAACAGTACCCCCCATGTACAGATTTTATGGTGTTTTGGAAAGTTAGAGAGTCACATATTAGGCTTGCATTTCATTTTTTTGACATTGAAATTTGCCAGATTGGTTGTGTTGCCTTTGAGAGCATGTGGTAGCCCAGGAATGAGAATTACCCCATGATGGCATACCATTTGCAAAAGTAGACAACCCAAGGTATTGCAAGTGGGGTATGTCCAGTCTTTCTTAGTAGCCACTTAGTCACAAACACTGGCCAAATATTAGTTTTTTGCTTTTTTCACACACAAACAAATATGAACGCTAACTTTGGCCAGTGTTTGCAACCTTGGGTTGTCTACTTTTTCAAATGGTATGCTATTATGGGCGTAATTTTCATTCCTGGGCTACCACACCGTCTCAAAGGTAACATTACTAATCTGGCAAATTTCAATTTGAAAATGGAACATTCTATATTTGACCCTGTAACTTTCCAAAACACCATAAAACCTGTTAATGGGGGGTACTGTTGTACTCGTGAGACATCGCTGATTACAAATTTGTGCATTTTTTTGCACTAAAACCTAACAGCATTATGACATTAACAGCTAAAATGTCAAACGGAAATACAAATTTAAAAAAAAAATCTTATTTTCTCACTTTTTTTAAATTTTATTCATAATAAATTATGTTCCATATATGAATAGTTAATGATAAATTAAAGTGAAAAAGAAAGGGTGGTAGACCGCGCCAAAAGAATAAGTAATCAGATAATCATAAATGTACATACATGTAGTTCTTGAATTTTACAGCATATGGGAACCTCAAAAAAGAACAATAAACAATAAATTATTGTTTATTGTTTTCTTTGAGGTTTCCATATGCTGTAACATTCAAGAACTACATATCCTAAGACGGGGATTGTACCGTCCAGGCGTTATACGGCAGAGCTCCTAGCAGCTCGGTAAAGTGTGAGTTTGCTCTTTACTCACAGTGTATCTTATTTATACATTATTACAATACCTTTTCATACTGCACTATTATTGTTTATTGTTTTCTTTGAGGTTTCCATATGCTGTAACATTCAAGAACTACATATCCTAAGACGGGGATTGTACCGTCCAGGCGTTATACGGCAGAGCTCCTAGCAGCTCGGTAAAGTGTGAGTTTGCTCTTTACCCACAGTGTATCCTATTTATACATTACTAAAGTACTTTTGCATATTGCACTATTATTGTTTATTGTTCTTTTTTGAGGTTCCCATATGCTGTAAAATTCAAGAACTACATGTATGTACATTTATGATTATCTGATTACTTATTCTTTTGGCGCGGTCTACCACCCTTTCTTTTTCACTTTCACTATCTAGCAGGCATTGGGAAGTCCTGCAGGTTCACTGCTGCCTTTTCACATTTATTGGTTTTTTTAGTGAGCGCCTATATCCTTCTTTTCTAATGATAAATTAAAGCCCTGTTTCTCCTGAACAAAGTGATATATAATAAGTGTGGGTGCACTTAATGTGACAGCGGTGAATTACGGTTGAACAGACATATAGCGCAAATTCCAGTTTTTGTTTACGTTTTGTTTTGATCAGAACGTGTACTATTGACTTCGTCCTAAAGGGGTTAAAAAAAAAACAAGAATAAAACAAGAAAACAGTAGAGCAGGGCATGCAAGTATATAGCTGCATATATGTATGTATATAAATTGATCCAAAAAATGGTGAAACAAGAATATCGAAAAATAACTATATGAGACATTAACCCCTTAAGGACGGAGCAAAATGTACACGTTGTGAACAAAACAAAATGTAAACAAAACCTGGCATTTGCGCTACATGTCTGTCCAACCATAATTCACCTCTTTCATAGTAAAACCCAACCTTATTATATATCATTTTATTCAGGGGAAACAGGGCTTTCATTTAATAGCAAATATTTAGCTACGAAACATAATTGAATATAAAAAACATGGGAGAAAATAAGATTTTTTAAAAATATTTTTAGTTCTACATGACATTTTAACTGTCAATGTCATAATACTGTTTGCTTTTACTGCAATAAAATACACATATTTGTATTCAGCAAAGTCTCACGTGTAAGACAGTACACCCTATGTACAGGTTTTATGGCGTTTTGGGAAGTTACAGGTTCAAATATAACACGTTACATTTGAAATTGAAATTCGCCAGATTGGTTACGTTGCCTTTTAGACTGTATAGTAGCCCAGGAAGGAAATTTACACCCATAATGGCATACCATTTGCAATAGTAGATAACCCAAGGTATTGCAAATGGGGTATGTCCAGTCTTTTTTAGTAGCCATTTGGAGTTTAGTTATATGTTACTAATAGGGGGATTCATGTTTTGTTTTCCTTTTCTTTGTATAGTAAGAGCCTTTCCCGTGGTGTTTTTAGGGCAGATGTAATTTTTTTAGATATTGTCCTTTCCTTGTAGCCCTTTTGCCTGAATGACTCTGACAGTGTACTCAGGTGCTGATCTCTGTCTTTTGTGTCAGAGCAAATGCGGTGATATCTGATAGTCTGGCTGTAGATAATAATTTTTTTTGTGTGATTGGAATGGAAGCTGGAATTGTGGAGGTAGCTGTACCTGTCTATGGGTTTTCTATATACAGACAAATGAAGAATGCCATTGGTGACAGTTATTGTGCAGTCCAAAAAACTCACACTGTGATTTAAAAAGATCTATTTAAAGTTTATTGACAGGTGGAATGAATTGAATGATATATGGCGAGGCTCATCTTCCTGTCCGCCCGCACCTCCCATGCTTACCCTTCTGTCAGTCCCTACATTGGCTTCCTATAAAATATAGAGCTCAATTTAAAATTCTGGTTCTTGCTTTCAAATCTCTACATAATGCTGCTCCCACCTATCTATCCTCCCTTATACACAAGTATGTCCCGTCTAGGACCTTACGATCTGCTGAAGACTTACGTCTATCTTCTGTCCATACTCCCACCTCTGATGCTCGCCTTCAAGATTTCTCGAGGGCTGCACCGTTCCTGTGGAACTTTCTTCCCTCCTCCGTTCGATGCTCACCCAGTCTCCACTCCTACAAAAATCGTTAAAAACCCACTTCTTCATAATAGCGTATCAATTAAACTGTTAATAGCTCCTGACTGATTCCTATTCTGCTACTGTCACTAGTCTAATACTATCCTTACCTTTTTGTGTCATTTTACCCCACTCCCTCTAGCATGTAAGCTCATTGAGCAGGGCCCTCAACCCCTCTGTTCCTGTGTGTCCAACTTGTCTGGTTACAACTACATGTCTGTTCGTCCACCCATTGTAAAGCACTGCGGAATTTGACGCCACTTATCATAATAATAATAATAATGGAAGTCTATAATGCTTTCTTCTCCTTCTGTACATATTATGAAAATATCATCGATCTAACAATAATATGTATATGGTTTCTATGGCTGTGTAAATAAAAATCAGTTTTCTAGGTCAGCCATGAAAAGATTAGCTATTGGGGTGACATTTTTGTGCCCATCATTGTCCCTGTCATTTGTAGGTAGTTTTGGTTAGTAAAACTGAAATAGTTGTGAGTGAGTATGAATTCTATAAGCTGGGCAATTATTGCGCTATCATATTTGTGTATTGGTTTGTGGAATGAGAGAAATTTAATGCAGGCCTCAATGCCATCCTTATGTGGGATGTTACTGGGTTTGCATTCTAGTATATCAGCTATGTATTATTGTACAATATAATATTCAGTTACTACGCTTCCTTATCAGAGAACCAACACAAATACATTGTTACCTATTGGGTTTTAGAATATTTTTAAGGGTCAAAGTGAGCGCCAATACAGTCTAACTGGAACGACTTTATCTATCTCACTGAATACCATTCCTAATAAGCGCAGTTTCTTCCTGTAACAAATTTGACAGATCTTACAGTTATTTGCTACTACATCAACTTTTTTCACCATTTGATATTCCCTTCTTTTGCCTTAAGCAAAAAGATGTAACATCTGGAGAGACATAAGATTCAGAAGCGAAAGATATTTTTCTACTTTAGTACCATGGTTTCATTTAGTGAGTAGCGTTATAGAGTATGCTGGCTACTTTTTTTGCCATAGGCTAACATTAAATATTCTCTTTTTGTTTCCTGTTTCATCTGCCATTCACATCTGGACAGGGACTTTGTTTATCCAGAGCTTTATTTGCAGCATGGTAAAGCCATTAAAAATGGTGTGAAGTATGGTCTGTCTATAACTGAAGACACAAAAAATGTATTGGTTTAGTTTCTATATAGTTTTGAATTATCATGTGTTTAATTTATGTGTTATGTGTTATGTGTTAAATTTATATATGTGTGGATGTATATATATTGTTTGTATATTGTATTTTTTGTATTATTGTATCATATTGTAACAATGCAATGCTTTGTGGATCCAGGACATAAACAAGATAAATTGCAATGTATCCATTCTGGTAAAATATTTTATAAATAAATAAATACATTTATCAATTATGTCTAAGATAATTTGACTTGGATTGTGTAGGAAAATGTAAGAAAAAGCTGGAAAAAGCCAGATTTTTTTTTTTTTCGCATTTATTGCAACTATTTAGTTTTAAAGTTTCAAAAAAATCACAAAGTTTCATTGTATGTGCCTAATCTAGTACTGCACTTATAGCAGAAATCTTACTGCTTATCTCTAGCTATAAGTTAAAATGATGACTTATCCTCTGCTCTATTCCATATTTTCTCAGCCAACACACTTCTCTCTTTCTATTCTTCCAGTTAATGGCTGAATAGCCTTACCCAAATTTAATGTTGTTACCCCTTTGGGGCTATGGTAATAAGTGCACTTATACAGGAACTTTATGTAGTTTATGCTGTTCACCTTTTGTACAAGGACTAATGTAATTTTGTTATAAAATTGTTTTAGATCTGTACTGAATATTTCTGTTCTCTTTTTTAGAGTTCTGAGCTGCCTAAGTTACGTGTGAAGGGTGTGTGGCTAGCCCCCAGCACACAAGTGTAAATAAATGGAAATGCAGTGTTTCAAATAGATACACTGCACCTCCAGACTCCTACCTAAAAGAAGAAGTAATCACACTGGTTGGAGTAACCATTTAAGAAACCAGCCAGGTTATTTTACCTACACAACTAAAATTGTTCCCTTTTACCTTCCCTTCCCCTCCTCTCCCCTTTCTTATTTACTCTAAACTTCTTTTACCTTTTTTTTTAGGGAGGGGTATATCTTTATGTAATTTTGAGACAAAGATTAATGTAATCTTTGAATAAAATGTATTAATTTTAATATT